GGCGGGGGGCCCGGGGGCGGCAGGCCGAGGCCGGGAGGGAGGGTCGGGCGGTGCTTCCCGGCCTGCTCTCACCTCCCGCAGCTGCCGCCCAGCGATTTACCACATGGCTGCGGCTGGTCTCACACGTGTGGGCACCCTGGGCCGGTGGAGGGCGGGGGGGCCTGGCAGCCCCCTTCGGTCGCCCCGGTGGGATGGCCAGGGAGGGGGGATTTATTTACAAGTCCGTAACCCAGGCTGTAAAGTTTCTCCTCTGCAAGCTTGTGATTTGATGTGTCCTTTTCCAAGAAACCTCCCCCTTGGCTTGAAATTTCGTTTAAAGTGCCTTGTGAAGGCAAAACACTGAAAAAATTGTTCGGGAAAACTCTGACGAACTGTATCAAAGCAAGGAGTCCCCCTTGGTGCAGAGCTCGCTGGCACGCCATGGTAATGCAATGTCATCTCTCCGTCTTTTCCCATAGCGAGTCAGATGGCAACCCTAGCACGGAAGATGAATCCAGTAAGGGGCAGGAGGATTTATCTCCCCATCCGCTCTCCAGCTCATCCGACGGCGTTACCAGCCTCAGCCTTCCTGGCCACACGGAGCCCGTCTACATGCAGCAGCTCGGAAACACTAAAATAGCCTTGAGCTCATCGGGCGTCTTGTTGAATGGAAACCTCGTGCCTGCCAGTACCTCTCCCGTCTTTCTCAATGGTAGCTCTTTTCTTCAGGGACCCAATGGTGTCATTCTCAATGGACTCAGCGTGGGGGCTTCGCAGACGGTTACCTTAAATTCGCCCAAAACCACGTCGAGTGTTGTGAGCAACGGGGTGGCCATTACTGACATACTGTCATCTTCGTCAGAAGACGTTAAGGACTTCAAACTTCTTCAGGCTTCAGTTCCCAACGCCGCGGCAGCCACCTTCAGCCCCAGCAACATCCCGGTCTCATTCCCAGGGTTGATACCAAGCTCAGAGGTGAAAAGGGAAAGCATACAAACTGCTGCTTCCCAAGATGGAGGCTCTGTAGTTACTTTTACTGCTCCTGTCCAAATAAACCAGTATGGCATTGTCCAGATCCCCAATTCAGGAACAAATGGCCAGCTGCTGAACGGAAGCATCGGTTTTTCTTCTCTGCAGCTGCCTCCCGTTTCTGTGGCAGCTTCACAAGGTAAAAGTTTTGTCTCTTACAGCAAGAGGTATGAGAAAAAGCTGGAATCGGGCACACTTAGCATTTCCGAAGCTGTGGTCCTTTTCCTCCAAGGTACCAGGATTGTATCTCAGCCACAGCCACACACAGTACATCAAATAACACCTTTTGCCTTCCTTTATAGTGGGTTATGCTTGTGGGCAGACTGTTAGATGAGGGTGAGCTCCTCTCCTAAGAGCAGAGAAGGAGGTCTGGTATTTTACACCCCTTTCATCTCATGCTGTTCTCAGAAGTCTGTGATACCAGTCTTCACAAATATCTGTAAATTTTACACGTTTCGGTAATTCAAAATATTTCCCATTTGCCGTTGAAATCTTTTAATGAGAAGGTTAATGAAAATTGCAGCAGCTGGAAATTGTTACTGTTGTTCTTGTGGTGGTTGTTTTGGTTTTTTAACCAAAGCATTTCATAAAAATAAATTTTAAATGGCTATAGACACAACAAGACCAAGCAGTTACACTCGTACATTTTCGGTTCTATAATTATGAAAGATTAAACTGCAGGGAAACAATAGAAATATGCAATAGCTTGTAGATATAAAATGCAAGGGTATTCGGATAAAACTGCCCTCAGTCCAAGGGAAATATGTCATCGCAGGTTCACGTGCCAAGTGTGCAGGCTCCTCCCAAAGTTTGCTTTAGAGTTTGTCTTACCATACCATAGACTGAAACTTGCGGCCAGCCAGGAAGAATCCCAGGGAGCACAAGCCTAGTTCTGGATTCTTGTTCTGAAGCAGGTCCATTATAAAGCACAACTTAACAGCTTTGTTACTCATTAGCCACTGTATCTTTGGTTATGAAAATTATAAACTTGAATGAATCTTTCTACTTTCAGGAGCTGTGAGTACTATAATGAAAATCAAATTGTGTTCATGTTAGCTTATTTGAATTAAACATGTATAGGGAGTGAATTTTTCTTGCTGTTAATATGGGGAGGAACACTGAAGCTCTACAAACATTTTAAATGGGTGTGCAATTATCCTAAAATGTGGCACTCACAGTCACTGGAAATTGTTGGTACGTAGTTTAACCAAGATGAAAAAGAGAAGACATTTAGTCTGAATACCACCTGTAATTACAAAAGCCAGTTAATCCACGTGCTCGGAGGCATAAACTGACAGCCAGCAAAGGTGAGAAAGAAAGTTCTGTCCTTTAACTAGTGTGGGACTATTGTATTTGAAAGTCCTAAGATTCATAATAAGCTCCTCTCTGAACATTTTCCCTGTTGTTAAAACTACCAATTCCCACTGGAGAGTGATCCACCATATGTCTAGTCTGGTGCGGAGAAAAGTCAAGATCTGTGTTTTCTCCTTTGATTTCTTTTTTCTTTTTGTTTTTCTTAACATGAGAAGGATGGATAGCCAGCTGCCTATTCCGAGTGAAGTGTGCTGCAGGCTATTTTAAGTAAGCTGCAGTAAATGTTATCTTATTGCCAGGTAACTCCAAGTTGCCTCACTTTATTCTTCTAGTTTACATGTATGAGTAACATCTTCCAAAAAATCATCATTGATTAACAGAAGTGAATAGGGAGCTAAAATATTCCCCAAGTGAGAAGTTAATCTTCAATGCTGTTCTAAAAAATTCAGGTGTCTCCAACTGTAGCCTCTTATAATTAAACTGCTTTTGAGAAAGAGAGGCGTTTGAAGTGGGACCCAGTCCCAAGAGCCAGTATATCTTCTTTTAGGAATAATTATAATGACAACTTACACGGCATGTCCAGTAAAACCAACTTCAGGTCATGTCTGGCCACCTCCTTTTGCTTTGGCTAGCTGCAACATCATGCAAGCAGCGCCATGGCTTTCAGCGAGGGTAGGCAGTCACTGGGTGACTTCACACAGCATGGTGGATGTGGTAGGGTTAGGCTTTTAGAAATAAGTGATAAAACGAGGTGAAAGGCAATACGTCTGAGTGCTTGATGGACTACCTAGTTAACCTGACAGAAGTTACTGGGTTTTGATGTTTTCTGTACTTGGGGTGACTCAGGTAGGTTCTGCCCAGCAGTAGTGGTTTTCATGTGACGTGTGTCCAGTTCCCACACACAAGCTGTAGTCTGTCACTGAACTATCTTTAATAGCTTTTCATGCTTCTATTCTTAGATAGAAATTGAGTGGTGGCAACTAGTGAAGGCCAAAGCACGTTCGTTTTAGTCACGTGGCTGGGGACTCTTTGCCCCTTAATGAGTCTGAAAGATACCTAATATACAAGAACCTTTTTTTTTTTTTTTTTCTTTCTTTCTAGAAGCAGTTTCTATTAACGGCTTTTATTTCTATATACCAAATTTTCTTTCACCTGTTATAAACAACACTGTTCTGTGTTGCATGCATGAAATATTGGCATATGTGTGTACTGCAAACATAAAAAAGACCAAAACATTTTAACAAAGTGCCTGCACAACTCTCTGCCAGCTATAATCTGTTTTCCTTTCTTTTGCTTACCTTTCTCTAGGTAATGTTTCAGTAAATCCCAGCACATCTGACGGAGGAACTTTTACAACTGAATCTTCAACAGTGCAGCAAGGAAAGGTTTTCTTCAGCCCCCTCGCTCCGAATGCAGTCGTTTATACGGTTCCCAATTCAGGCCAGGCAGTAGGCTCTGTCAAGCAAGAAGGACTGGAAAGAAGCCTTGTGTTTTCTCAGTTGATGCCAGTCAGTCAGAACACGCAACTAAATGTAAACATGTCTTCTGAAAATATATCCAGCGGAGGACTCCAGTCCCTGGCCTCCTCATTAGTGAATGTAACGCCCTCACATAATTTTTCCCTCACACCACCAACTCTCTTAAATGCTGCAGAACTGAACTCTGGTATCTCGGAGAGCCAGTCCATGTCATCGCCCGTGACCAGTACCTCTACCGTGATATCTATCAGCAACACTAACTATGCAACCCTGCAGAACTGTTCCCTCATTACCAGTCAAGATCTGTTGTCCATTTCTACAGCACAGCCTGCGCTTGGAGAAATAGTTTCTACAAGCGGAGACCGTGTCAGCCACTCCTCTGCACAAGTACATGAAGATTTTGTCAGAGAGCACAGGTTAGTTCTGCAAGCCGTACCTGACGTCAAAGAGAATTTCTTACCTAATTCAGAGAGTAAGTCAACTGGCAATTTAATGATGCTGGATTCAAAATCCAAGTATGTTATGAGTAACGTGGTTGACACAGTTTGTGAAGAACTGGAAACGGACAAAAAGGAACTTGCCAAACTGCAGACAGTTCAGATGGATGAAGATATGCAAGACTTGTAACTTTTTTTTTTTCTTGCTTTCTGTTTTGATAGATAAGTCTCCTGTTGAAGCCCTAACAAGCACCAAGTGGGGTTTTTTTTTTGGTTTGGGTTTTGTTGTTGGTTTTTTTTTTCATTTAAAGAAAACAGAACATTTAAATGGTCTGAATCGATGTACAGAGGAATCTCTGGCAATGGAATTAGGTTGCCACACTTGGTTTGCATGCAGTATTCTCTTTTAAGCAGATTAAAGGAGAAAGGAAATGCCAGGGCAAGTACCGAGCGAATGGGTGCAGGTTTGGCTAAGAGACACTACTCTGATAATTTAACTAGACTCTCCATAGTGCAACATACTCTCAACAGTAAGTATACACTCCTAACTTTAGATAGAAAACAAAAGTCTCGCTCCAAAAAGGTAGAAACAACGCGGTCATTTTTGCTGTTTACTTCTAGTCCATGGGCATTGAGAAATTTTTAAGGAACTCTAGACGATACCTCACCGGCTACTTCTATGTTGTTTGAGGTTAAGAAACGAAACAAAGTCATAAATAATATTGTTACTGGTGTATTTGCTTTTTTTCCAGCAGACCTGCTTTCAAACCAAAAATGTCACATCAAACATTTACAGGTTTCTAAATGCTATAGCTAGCATTTTGTCAGTGCACCAGAAGAAGCATCATTTGAAACTCTAATTATGCAACTCAGAAGCTTTCTCTCCAGTATGAATGTAAATATTGTTTCAGTTCTTATAAAGGAGACTTTTTTTAAATTAGTACAATGGATTTTATTTATGGTTTATGTTCCCTTTCACTTTAGACACAAGGCATTGAAAAGGAAAACGTTTTCTGGCTGTTTAATTTATTTTTATTGTTTGAGCAGGAAGTAAACGTAGTTATTTCTGACAAGGTTTTACTTTTTTTTGTAGTTTTTCAAGCAATAGACTGTAAAAGTAAAATGTTAATCACACTGAAACTAGAAAATGAACTCCCAGTCTCACAAACCCAGGAGGTCCCTGTCTCTACCCCCTCTGTCTTTGTGTTCAGGGGTTTTTTGTTTGTTTCGTTAGTAATTTGCGAATTAGTTGAACCTTTTTGTGTATTTTTTACAGAATTCCACGTGCCTTTCTTCCTAGTGGCCTTATCTTTGTTACTAAAGCACAGTGGCAGGAGGAATAAAAACACTGATTTGCAAATATCCGTCCTCAGGGCCAAATCCTGATGCCTTACTTCTGCAAGTAGACCCACTGACTTCGGTGCCCCTACTTGCACGAGTAAGAAGAGTTTTAAGTCTGTCAGTCATTGTGGGTGACATTTACTAGCGGTGCAGAGCGCCAAAGATAGGTCCTTCTGCAGCACGTCAGCAGGGCAGGAGGAGTCCAGAGAGGGACCATGGGCAGAGCTGTCATGCCGAGGGAGAGGTCTTGGCTCCAGCCTCGGGCAGATGAACAGGAAAGGTTGGATGGGCAGGCCAGGGAAGGGAGCTCCATGTTTACACGGACCCATTGGCCAAACATATTGGCTCATGTGGGAGGGCTTCAGCTGCTGTTCAAGCAAGCAGGCCCCCATCCAGGAGTGCACTTAAGCGTGTATTTATATATCCTTCCAGAATAAGCAGCGTGGGGGCTGATGGTGGGAACTGCAGCTGCCCGAAGGCCTCCTAGAAGTAGCCATGGTCTTTGCCTGGCTGGGGATGGGTCTTCTCTCCCTTCGCCCCCATGTGCTGCGCTGGGGACAGCAGAAGCAGGTGGGCTCTGAGCAGGTAGAGCAGCTCTTACCTTTCCTCCAGCGGAGTTTTTGTAGCATGGAAAAGCACATCCTTAAGCTTTAAAATAATAATAAGAATGCAGATGTATAAAAATGACATTCTGTTAACCTTTGTGGTTTTGTTTTGTTATTTTTTTATTCTAATGTGAATATATACAGTAACTAAAGCATGTATTCATCCTCATCAGGGGCCTGGTCCAAAGCCTTTGGAAGGCAATGGGAAATGTTTTCATAAGCTTCTGTGGGCTCCAAATCAGGCTCAGGACAAAACAAGATCACTTGTAAAGGGCAAAAAAATGGAAAGGAAAGAGAATAGAGGTAGCACATCCCGGTCTGTTTCTGTCTTGGTTGTTAACTGGTTCTGTGGAAAGCCTTTGAGGAATGAAGGGGTTTTTTTCTGTGTGCCCGTGAGCGTGGCGTAGGCATCCTCACTGTTGTTTTGCACTATATTGAATACAGCGTGTTTTGCAAGGTATTCTGTGGAACCTTGAAGCTGAGCTCTGTCGGTAGGCGCTGGAGTCCGTGCTGCAAGCATCAGAGTCTCTAGGGCTGCAGGGAAAGGGAAGAGCAAGCGTGCAAGGCGTGCACTTTGCAGCTGTACCGAGTCACTGATGCTCTGCAAACAGAAGCAGCCCATAAGCAGTTGGCTGTCCCCACCTGCTCCCAAGCACAAAGGGTGTTTAAGGCAAGCGCTTTAAAGTGGAGATTATCACAAGCAGAACATGGAGCTATACGTTTCCCTGGCACAACTTTCCTTGACATTCAGGGGATCTCTGTGTGAGCAGGGAATTGGATAGTCCAGAATTCTCCCCTCTGCTCTGCTTGTTTATGCTTGCTGCGCTCCAGCATGAGCAATCTGCTTCCCACCTCTTCTTTGCCCATAAAACCAAGATGATGATGACAATAACAGTAGATGTATCTGCCTTGCATGAATTTGTTAAACGGTTTGGAAAATTAGAAGGACCCTATATTGTTGTCATATTAATGGAGAACGTGTGTGTGGCTCTGAAGGAGTTGTTTGGGGCTTAACATTTCATCTGTGAAGCTCAGACTATATTTGGAGGCAGGCTAGAGAGTATTTCAGAGCACTCTCGGTTGTTGACACGATCAGGTCTCGTAACTGAAAAGACTGCGGTGTTACACCAGTACCTGTTACTTTTTTTTTTTTTTTTTTTCCTCCTTTGCATTTGTTGTGTTACTGAGGCTCTGAATTCTATGGCTTTGCAGCACAGTTGACATGAAAACTGTGTATGTTGTTACAGTGGCACGTATCTTGGAGTGTCTGGTACTTCTAATAGGAGACTTCCCGCTCTTCAGTGGGAGCGGAGGATGTACATAAAAGCAGTGGTTTGGGACAAAGTAAGATTAATCTATTCTAGTCTTCCAGATACCAAGTAACTTATTTTATTATTGTGTTTTACTCTTTCTTTCTCCCATTGAAACTAAGTGTCATTCCCTCCAGATAACGTAGTTATAACCTCATGTTTTCTGCAGGTACATATGCACAATATAAAGACTCATTGCACGGTACAGTGTTTTTAAAATAGATATTTAAATAGTAGTTTTACTCCTACTGTAAAATAAGAGTCAGTTTTTATTATGTGGCCCTCAAGCAAGCAGGCTAACTGCTCTAAATAGACAGTACACAAAGTCCTGAAAAGCATCTGGGGCCAGATCTTTGGCTGCTGTTAATAAGGCGTTGCTCCACTGATTCCCAAACTAGGGATTTTACACAGTGTTTAGGGGATATGGATGCTCATGTCCTACACACATGAATGGCAGTGAGTGTCTAAGCCCCACAGACAGTCCTTATTATCACATTCTGTTGTTCAAATGGAAGGTATGTCTATCTGGCATACATGTTCCTTCTCCCTCCTTCCTTCTCTGTTACGGATGAGAATAAAGGATCGTTTCAACTTCACATATGTTTGTAACTTGTAAGTCCACTGGAAATCTTACAGGAAACATTGCCAAATTCTACGACTTTTCTGGTCCCAGGCTCAGCTTTGAAAAATATGCTTAAAGTTTGACCAAATTCCTACAAAGCATGATGTTAAAAAAGCCTTTGTTCTTTACTACTTTTAATTAAAGCTGCCTCTGTTTCACCCAGAGTTTTGCAGAGAACCAGAAATATACTAAATTGAATGCTCTGTCTGGACTATTTGCAGCATTATTCCTGTGGTCTTACCTAAAAGGACATTTCAGCCACATAAATCATGGACATCGATCAGCCAGGTCCTCGGCTGGCTAAACTAGCACAGTTCCATTGACTTTAATGTCGTTTCACACCAGCCGAGAATATGGTCCATTCATTTCACTGGAGTTGGGTCAGGGACGGATTTGGCCCAGTATATGGTGGCAGTATGAACCAGTGCACAAGGCTGACACTCAGACAGTTATAACCGAACAGTCACAGTCTATCGAAGCATATACCTCTTTCCATTTACTGCTTTACCTTACCTGTGGATTCAGGAAGACGCGTTCAGAAAGCTACTTTACCCAGAAGTAAGGCTGGAACCATCTTTATTGTTATTACTGTCAATCCGAGATTAGTGACAATAATGGACAGATTCTGACTTCCAATCCTGCAAAATCACCTCAGTAACTATTTTCAGTTAAATTAAGCAGGGCAGAATTTGGCCCTGTGTGCACAGGAGCTTTTCCCATGTGTAGATTTCCAGCACCTGTGCACTTTTCTTAGCAAGGGCAGATGAACAAGCAACAGGGTGCATCCCTCCAGTTCCATTTGAAATGTGTGCAGGACTCCTGGGGCCATGAATCGCCTAGTGCTTGTGGTCAAGAAGCATCTCAAATTGTAAAAAGAATAGTAATTTTATAACTCTGGAAACAAAAGTAATGACCTTTTACAAGGAAGGAGACCTGAAGTCTTCCTGTATCTCCTAGCAGTTATTATCTTGAAGGATATTTTATACCTTACTTGTATGTTTCATATAATTTAAAACTAGCTTCTTAAATTTCTGAACTCAAGGAGGGGGTGAATCTTCTGACTTTCAGGATTCACATTCAGAGGATGTTTGTTCTTTTGCTGCATGTACTGTTTGTCCAGAACTAACCAGTTATTTCTGCAATATGGGTTTATTGTGCCTTACAACAAATATGAAACTTAAGCGGAATGTACGCATTAGAGGAGGGAATAATCAGAAGACTTTACTGCACTGTTAGGTGATGCCGCCCCAGAGTGTATCATCAAACATATCTGTGCTTAATTACCCAACCAAAGAGATCTAAAGTATGTATGTTTGTTGTACTGTAATAGGGGTTTGTGCCTGGACAATTAAGTGTTTTATTTGTATTCTGAGATGATGTGAACTTATTTTTCTAAACACTATACTGAATAAACTTTATATTTATACACATCTTGTGTAAATATTTCTATTTGGATATAATGTGAAAGCTTTGAATTTCGTGTTAGAAAAGTAATCTGAAGTAGAAGCTTGGCTTTTAATGACTCATCATGAAGGTGGTGGCAACTAGGAATGCCTGTGCTCACCAGGGAATTGATCTAAAGCCTACTTAAGCTAGAATGAGACTCTCTGTTGACTTGAGTGGGTTTTGTCAGACCCTAACTTTGCTTCTAAAATACTAAATTAAAAACCATAAATCTTCTATTTCATATCGAACCTAGCTATTAACTCTGTGTCTCAAACCAAATTTATACCATAATTAGATAGATAACTGTTTAAGTGTATTTCCACCTACTAGTTAGGACTACACAGTATTTACTCGCGGCTCCCATGGCATTGGGATGCTTTCTGTGTCAGGGTTTCTTTTTGGGTAGGTAAATACCTATTTATTTGCTAAATTTGTGTTTGTTGAAATTTTTCTTTAAAATGTTGCACTTGGTGTCAGACCTGGTTTTGGCAGACTTTTGAGAACAGCCTGAAATTTATGTTCCCTTGATGTTAAAGGATTTAAACACATTACCATATTACTTCAGGTCTGTGCTCCAAGTACCAGGATTGCCTAGTTACGGTTTTGATGCCAAAGTGAATAACAGTAAGTTCAAGCAGGCTAACCTGTACAGGTGAAATAGTTTCCCTCACTGGAGCTATATATACATTAGAGATACTTAAGAGCCTGCACATGCCAGCAGGAAAACACCCTTTCACCACTTAAATGGTATTTAGGCTGCGGGAAGCAAGATTAGGTCTGTGAGATCAGTTTTTTCAAATAGTCAGGTCCAGTTGTATATACCGATTATATTTTTAATCACTAAGACATTACCTTTCCTTACCGTTATTCACCATTCCTCCATCTTTCCCATTTATCACAGCCGTGTTCCGCTCGCTCCACGCAGCGCCGCTGATGGCGGGCCAGATGGGAAAACCCAGCGAGCCGTCTCCCGGCCCTGGGAGCATCTCTCCCCGCTCTGCCTGGGGTTGACCCGCCTCGCGCTCTGCAGCTGCCGAAGTAAATCCAGTTACCCAGGAGCAGCCCTAAGGTAGAGAGAGACAATTGCCTTGTTGCCCAACTCCTTTTCCTTCGCAGAAGCAGTGGGCGTGACTCAGTCCTCCTGTTCATAGCACTTCCCTTTGCCATGCTTTGGTTTTGCCTGAGCGGTAGGACTGTGATAATATTTTCCTGCCCTGCAGATACCAAATTCCTGATGGATCCCTGGCCAGCAGCTCCGTCCCAGCTTTGCTTGGAGCAGGGGGTGAGGCTCTAAAGCCCTCATTCAACCTGGCTGTGAGCAGCTTCTCCTCTCGTTTCTGCCCCATGACGCAGCCGGGGGGAGAACCACCACCGCTGGATCGGCTCCAGCTGGGGGAGATCCCCTCCGGGAGGGGGTTTCTGGCTGCGCAGCCCCCATGCGCTCAACCAGACAAAGTGCAGGGGTTTGAGGGCAACCAAGAAGTGGAATGTCTCAGCGTATGCAAATGTCAAAATTCTCCCTGAGCAGCCACCCATGCGGTATGCAGGATGAATCATGTCCTAACGGAGCGCATTCCTGCTACTTTGGAGGGCTTTGCAGATGTGTTCCAGGTCACCCTGGGCGAGAAAACCACACACAGCCACGGTTACTTCTTCCCTGGCAGCTTGTGCACAGATGGAGAAAAGGGGGACAGCACCTTCGGAAGGGTGGGCAGCTGGCTCCCCGAGCCCCCGCCTTTCACGCAGGACCTGGGGATGCTGGAGGGAGGACCGGGGGCTGCCGAGGCAGTAGCTGGGATAAAGCTGATAGTAGGGAGGCTCGGCAAGACGGGCGGTTGCTCTTGATCTAGCAGGGAGACAAGCTGGAAAGGGAGGCAACGTTGGAAGACAGCACTTTTTATCCTCTGTTTCTGGCTGGATTTTCCCCAGTGCCAGATCAGAAGGGAATTTTCCTCCTCCAAGAGGCAGAGGTTGAATCAGTAAAACAAGATCTTAATATAAATGCTCAGGGCTTGGAAAGCGGAGGTCTCCTTACAGGACTGCATCCCCTGTTGTAGTGATCTCTGGCTGCAGAAATCTTTGGGCTGGAGTCTTAGGACAGTATATCTTGGTTATGGATACAGATCACACTTTTAATATAAAAATACATTTTAGAAGGAAAATGATTCCCAGAAACAGGAATTCATCTGCCAAACAATGTGCGCATAACTGACTTTACACTTAGAGGTGCCAGAAAGTTCAGGAATGAGACCAACAATAAAAAAACAACACACGTGTGAAAAATCTACTACATTAAAGCCAGATTCAATAAAAATAGCACCTAGTTTATACGCTGCAGAAGCTGGCACACGCCTGCAAAAGCCAAAGGAAAAAGATAAAATGTTCAGAAGTTACATGCAGTCCAGAGGAACTGAGCGGCGCTGGAGTAGAGCTGATTGTTACTTAATAACTCATGTACAATATTCTCATGTGTAAGTACTTTAATTCTTCATCCTGCTACTTCTCGGGCAGAAAGACCCAATTTGGAATACTTCAGGCTAATCAATAAGCTTTGTTGTTGCAGCCAAAGTGCTTTGCAATAGATCTTAAATTACCCAAAAGGACTCCAGAATGTTACACCGCACCATTTTCTTTTCTACTCTGCAAACTGACAGCCAATTATTTTGGTGTTAGTGGTATCCCTTATAGGGCTTGCAGCTGTAAAATGCAGCCCCTCCCTTGAGGAACGAACTGACAGTATACAGAA